TTATAATATTGTGTTTATTTACAAGATGGGACACCCTGTACAGTTACACTGGCATCGTTTCTAAAATATGTGATGTGTCATATTATTATTGTTTTTTTATATAATATATTAAATCCAATAGTGGTAGAATACTTATACTACCATATTCATATTATAATAGCTGATTAATCGACTTGCCATAAAAATGTTCAACGTCGAGGATGATACTGATATTAGAATACCTATTAGTAATGACTAATGAGTAATAATATTATTGATATTAATAATTGAGAAAAAAACTAACTACTATAAAATCATTAAAATTATAATAGGTGTACACTGTTTGTACTCATATTTATTCTCTATTCCCTATAGGTAATTATATCAGTTCAATTTATTTATAATTATTGTAAAAATGTAATTTAAATATTTATGTTTGTAATGAGTAGGTATTGACAAATTATAATATTGTTCCGAGTAAATATACGAACATTTCACAAGAAAAATCTCACTTATCCATATGATACGACACAATCGGAAAATCGTGTGCAAAGGCCGATTGTTACCAAACTCATACAAAATGATTACAAAATAAATTTAAACAGTGTACCTATACAAAATAAGGATTTCTTTTGGAAATGTATTTAAAATATGAAATACAAAATGGTTAGGCGATTTAAAAAAATATAAAATACTAAATTCTAAATATATACATTATACATATTAGGTATACCTAACAAAAAATGTCCTTCGTATATATTATTAGTAGCATGCTACTAGATATTTTTCCTCTGAAAGGAAGATTTTTTTGTCTAGTGCAGTGTAAAACGATTTAGTAGGTAGTAACATATGCTACAGGTATATATCTACAATCTACGTGTTGTTAATAATTAAATTAAATTTTTTTCAACATAAATGTGTTTTGGGCTGGGTGCGCATAATGTTTTATTTTTCTGACTGATTTTTCAAAATTGGACGTTTTAGTTGTCATGGTTAACAAAAACATATTTATTATCCATAGTTTTTCTTTCTAGAGGAAAAATATTGAGTAGCGTGCGATGGTTTTTGTTTTTATTGTTTATTTGCGTTTCTATAGCAATTAACAAAACGTTACAAAAATTGGTTAGAAAAAAAAGGTGACCCGACCCAAAAACATATAGGTATCTACGTTAAAATTGTATTTGTTGACAATAATATTATTAGATACATGAAACTTAATTATTTATAATTTAGGTATAATGCACTATAATAATACAGTCGGGTCTGGGTAACTCTAATCTTGATAACTCGAAATTCTCGACATCTCGAACAAATAAAATTCTGCTTCAAATAACAATAACACATTAAGATTTTGATTACACGAAATTTTTTAGTAAGTGAAATGTTTTTTCCTCCGTGAAGTTATCGAAAGACGAGAGTACACTGTACAATATAAAAGTTAAACATTTGGTTGTCAAGTTACTAAAGCTGACTATTGTCAACGAAGTGCCTATATATATTAGGTATTGAAATTGGTAGGAATATATTGTATATGTATATTATAGTAGATTATATTATTGATATACAGTTTTATAAAATACCATAATTCCAGACACTACTCTGAAATATGAATGATTTGCGGACTAAAACTATATAAACTTACATATAAGTAAACAATAAAAATTATAATATGAAAAATATAAAATATGACAGATATTAATAAAGCACAATATGGAAAAAATTATTTCAAAATTATACAATATAAAAAAAATAATAAAATATTATAATATTATATTTATTTAAATTGCATACCCTTTTTTCCCAACACTGATTGACAGCCACGTCGTAACGAGACCGTTCGGAGGGTGGGCAGAAGGATTGTTTAATCTTTAGCATTGTAACAAAATCTCATATTTCAATAATTCACACTTAAAATATAAGATTTATAATTTATGTTAAACTAATTAAATTTTTTTTTTTTTAAGCAACGGTTACCAATATTAACCGTAGGCTCGATTAGAATATTAATGCAGGTATATACATTATATTGATATATAATGATTGATTTATTTTTACATGGGGGAGGCGCTATTGAAGAAAACTGTGTTTATATAATATTAGGTATGAAATAATAAAATGCGAATCGCGTCCCACCAAGCGTATTATCACCTTCACTTCGACCACTGCAGGACTGAGTGCATACCTACCGGTAAACCACTTATAAATTCATTCCACGCCACGCAGACTAAAAATTGATTTTTCTCGGACGAATTTTTATAATTTATACGTTATTTTTTTTTAAATTTAAACCCAACCCTTTTATCTCGTGTCACGAGACCTCCGCCGTACCCTTGACGGCCCACTGCCCAGCAGCCTTTACCCATAGGTACTGTGTATAGCCTATAAATATTAAATAGCATATACATAGCAGAGTATGGGCTAAAATCCGTATCAAGATTCATGAGTACTTACGAACTACTTATCAAAGGCAGACTCGAGCGAAACCGTTATATATTATTGCAGTTTGCAAACACGATTGAAGGTCAGAAACTTAGATAATAAATTTAATAAATTAATATTTATAAAAAGTAAATTAATACTTAGAAAATAAATGAAAAATTTCTTTCCAAAAACCAGTTGTAAATATGTGTAGGTTGTATAATAATATTTTGCCAGTGCAGCTCGAATTTAGAGGGGTGGATCCTCTTATTCTTTTTTTTTAAATATTGGGTACCCTTTCTGGTTATATCCTAATTAATAAGACATGTAATATACTTAAGGTGGGTACCTACTTACATTTCTTTTACACTTTTGCATACCCCTTCCAATTTTTTTTGAAATTCAAGCAGTGGCGTAGCCATGAAGGACAGTGGACCATGCCCCCCCCCCCATTGACGGTATCAAAACGTTGAAACAACATAAAAATAAATTATTATTGTTAATTGTAGAGTAGGTATTTGTTTTTAATATTTTGGTTTGGCGTTCCCCCAATTTAAAATCCTCACCACTCCCCTGAAGCACAGTAGTTTAGTGTTCCTTCCATTACGATTTTAATTTGTAGTTGTTATGAGTTAAACGGTAAGATTTTTGAAGGTGCAGGCAATCATTATAAATATTTCAATATTTGCGTTGAATATAAATCATAGTGGTACAGTTGTAGGTACTTACATAAACATACCTACAATAAATAATTTTATTTTCCTGATCGCTGTTACCGCGCGATAATAACCTACATGGGCTACACGGCTACACAATATATAAATTACTATAGTACCTATTTGAAACATAGTACCTAGTAGTAGCTACCTACGTATTGTTGATCTTAAATTATAAATTCTTTCCAAAACCCCGCCTCAATAAATTACCTGGTTAAAAAATATAATACAATGTAAGACACTGCAGCTGTGGCCTGTGAGCTGTATGACTATATTATACTGTATAGGTAAAGTTATTAGGTCTGAAAAAGTAGTACAATTTCGTTTACCTACCTTGAGAGAGCACATTTTCGGATGTCTCAGTACGTACTCAGTTTAGGACGGTTGAGGTATAGTTATCGATCACGAATAATCGATATTATGAATAATTTATTAAATAAAAAAAAACTGTAATTACTTATATAATTTGTATTCGGACGCCAAGCAGCAGAACGGATTTTCTAAATAATTCGAGGCGGAAAAAATAACTTTCTACAGAATATCACCACGACACGTGCAGGTCGGTCGGCTTATATAGTTGTGGGAAACCGGCGGCAGATGGCGTACCGGACGGCGTAGCTTGTTTCAACCGTAAACATAATATTTATTATTTACATATTATTATTATAATAATGCGTCTTGTACTCAGACTTGTAGGTTCCTAAAAAATGGTTATAACCGAGAATTCTTACCAAAACATGGGTAGGCGAGCATGTTGATGAGCTGCAGCTGCATCTTTCTAAAAGTTCGACATGCCGGCCGGCCCTCACCACGCTGCCGCACATATTAATGTATTATAACAGAATCGCACTATCGCGCATAGTTAATAAAGAAATCAGACTTTTTATCGGCTTTCCAAGACTGATAAAAAATTGAGGCAATTATTATTATAAAATATTATTATTTATATTCTAATATTATATATTATATTCGGCCATTCGGGATAATTTGCCTCAGATTTCCTCCCCTTTCACGGCCATCCTTCTATTTATTCTCTATGGTATCGAGGCTACCCGGGTATACGCTCACGCTCACTTTTTTATTATTTATTTTTATTTTTTTTTATTGTTACCTCGGCAAACATAACAAAAACAGTGTATGCGTAATGCCGTTATCTATGAACGTCACCGCTATCACTTATCAGCGAGTGTCCCGCGGGCGCCGCGACTGGTTGCTACAATATAATATTATAATCATCATCATCATTCAAAAACTTGTACACACTACACACTTGTCACTTACACAGTATATTTTTTAGTTTTATACACAGTCGCGTACGGCAGCTGTCGGTGTCGTTTGTCGACGGCTCGAGGTGGAAGCCGATCTCGTAATACGATTATTGTTTTACATATTATTATTGTATCGACTATCTGATAAATATGTTATAATATTCACGTACCTGCTCCACTCGACAAACAGCCGTTTAGATCTAAGTGTGTCGGTGTTTGCTCGCGCACTTGCACTGTGCACGTCTGCGTAGTACTACACATATAATGTAGAAATGTAAAATGTAAAACGGACATCGTAGGGAATGCATGAAATAATGTGACGTTTAAAGAAGTAAGTGAGCCTGTTTACTCAAAAGCCCTTGTGCCTTCTCGTTTTCACCATAATTAATTGTACCTCTGCTTTGTTTGTATGTATAGAAACGTTCTTGAGCACTCAGTTATTTATTATCTTTAAAACTCTTATTACTTTTTTTTTTGTTTTTTGTTTTCCATACATCCTCCTTAGCGTGTGCTCATAATTACTTTAACAATGCAGCTTTATCTGGCCAACATTGTTCAGACGTATGTGCATGTCTAGTAGACAGTTGACACATATGCGCCCTGAAAACCTACTGGAATTATGGTAATGGAATCCACTAGCATGGTTAGTTGTGCGATTGAACAGTTTTACACTCCGATGACAGTGACAATCTATAAGAGCTGCAGTGGTGGCGAGTATTATGTCCGTTACCGAGTACTGCCAGGTTTGATTTTCAATATATTTAGTTGTGCTGTCTTAACTTTTCAAAACATTGCAATGGCAGATAGAATCATACTGTTAGATTTTTAATAGTTCTGAATAACGGTTCAAATAAACCTGGCTACTTGATATAGCATACGTTTTAAAAGATTTAATCCCAAAAATGTATACACCTATGCTATATGCATTGATATTTTATAATAATTCTAAGTACATAACTTTGGCTTGAGTAAAGCGTAATCCTGTATATCAATTTTTTTTGATTTTAAATTTATTTTGCTGTACGCTTACATTAAATTTTTAAGGTTGCTTACCACAGATATTTTTTTCTACCAATATCGATAAAATGATAAATACAAATTAATCTAATTGATTTCTGTTTTTATTAATGGTTTTTCAATAATAAAGTAAATTGTACATCTTTTGTTTTGTTTGCAAAATCCTATACACATTATGTACAATGAAAGTTAAATTCTGATATTGGCATAATAGCTTCAACGTTTTAGAATGGAAAATTATTCCTCCCCAGGGGCAAGCTTAAGAAGAATTTGTTTAAGTTAAGGTATTAAGAGAACTGTAAAAAAAAAGTGATGGTTAGTCGCTTTCCTGTGATCTAAATTCTGTAATTTTTTAACCCATCAACATTTTTGATATTTTATAAAATAAACTTCATTAAAAAATATTAAAGAATATAATTTCTATCTGTTAAAATTAAATTTACGTTATGAAAAAAATGGTGTGGAAATAGCATCTTCTAGAGTTCAGTTATTATTATTATTTGTTTCGTTAATACCTACCTACATAATTCAAATACAAATTAATAACTTTGGAATATTTCTTTTATTTTATAAAATTTCACTTATATTTCACTAATATTAATATCTAATGGTTTGGGATTGTGTTAAAATCATTGATTATAAATAGGGCTCGGATTTAAATGCCCTAAAAATATCAAAAAAAGCCCTTTCAAAAATGCATTTATGACCTAAAAACTCAAAAAAATGCCCTAAAAATGTTAAAAAATGACGTTTCAAAAAATGCATTATTTATTAAATAAATTCAAATTTAATTATTATTAAAAAATAAGGAACAAATAAAATTCTAATAAAAATTATAAATTATAAATTAATAAATTATATTACAATGTACAAAAAAAAATTAAAATTAAAAATTAAATTATATTTGCATTGCATTGTACAATAAGAATTTCTTTAATGTTTTGGAATTTAAATGATCGACGGCTGTCTGCCAATAAGTCATAATACGACAAATAGGTCAAAAATGTCCTAAAAAATTAAAAATTGCATTAAAACCGTCAAAAAATGCCCTAAAAATAATGAAATCCGCTAAAAATGCAAAAAAAGCAAAAAAATACCCCGAAAAATTATTATGGTTGGATTGCGAAGTACTTGAAACATATTTGTAGCTTGGAAAGCATCGCGTAAGATATCCCAAAAAAAATATGCAAATGCATTGAAATCCGAGCCTTAATTATAAACATTTTGAAAATATTGGTTGAGTCTACTACGAAGAATGTCCAAACATGCATCAAATGCTTTGTAATAAATACAGTAAGTTCTCGTTACAACGAACTCCAAGGGACCACATTTTTTTTTCGTTATAACGGAAATTTCGTTGTAAGGTCATTAGAAAAGCTTAATAGCTTTTCTGTAGGGGACTTCTAGGACTTTCGTTATAACGGGATTTTTCGTTGTATCGGTATTCGTTGTAACGGGAACTTACTGTATAAAATATAATGTCGGTTGATTATTTTAAACAACTCAAACTTATCTTTTGAATAATATGCCTTATAGAATACTCGATTCCCTACCTAAAATTCTTATTTATCAACATACATTCTATAATATATATATCTATATATTTTAATGAAGTGATGTTTAACTAATATAATATAACTATAATTTATATAAATGTATCAACCTATTCAAATTTAAACAAATTATTATCCTTTTTTAGTTAACATTAATTAATTTATATTTATATATACATAGGTATATAATAGTTTTAATGATATCTCATTAGTATTAGAGTTGATTATTAATTGTATGCAAACTATTAACTAGTGCTTACATAATGTGTAATAATTACAAAATTAATGCATTGCTTCTTACTTCCTTTGGATGGTATATCTTTTAAAATATAATGTATGATTTTAATTAAATTTGAAATAAAATAATATTTAATGAATGCAATGAATTGAAAACTGTGTTGTATTGATTTTGGTAAAATTAGGTCTGCTACATGTTATAAATGCATTTGAGCTACAGACTGCGAAAGGTGAGTTTTATTTTCAAAAAATGCTTATTGCATGCAAGTTTTGCATGAGTGATATTTAAGGCTTTGTCGCTCAGATGTTGATGTATTTGTGTATATATTTTACAACTATTCAAATTATTTATAAGTTGGATATAATCTTGTGTCCATGAATTAATTGTAAATGCAACTATTCGGAATATTGGATATTTTTTCAATATATTAAAATTTAAGTAGCTTTATTCTTACATAATGTTTATAGGTAATTATGAAGTTTTATAAAAATAATATATATTTATGGTTTTACTCCTTTCCTTCATCTTAAAATCAATAAATATTTGGTAATTTAAATTCAAGCATATATACGTAAAAAAAATCATTTACTAAATTCTGATTGAAGTGTGTGATATATTATTTTAAATAAAGTTTAGATGGTTCATGTTTTTAAATTTAATACTATAACACACTAAAATTCTTCAACCATTGTTGTAAAGTGAAGTGAAGTAAATGCCACACCAGGATTTCCTGTCTGAAGTTTTAAATGTATTTTGATAACTAGATTAGGTATTCTAATATTGGTACCTATTAGTTTTATTTTGTTTAAGAGGACGCTACCCATGTATTTGTTGTCTCCGTCTTACACACTCACGACATACCAAATTTCCATTCGCTAGTTTAAATAGTGTGTTGTTAGTTTTAATATTAGAGTGAATTGACCTATTATCGTACTATTAGGTAAGAATATTTACCCATCTGTGCTTAAGCGTTGGCGATTTTTAAACATTTTCATTTTCAAGTAAGATATGTGTACGTGAAATATCAAAAATTTTAAATACTCATATCTTGCTTGAAAATAAAAATATCAAATAAAAACCAACGCTTAAGCACAGATAATGTTATTATCTAAATATGTTATAGTAGGTCAATTCACTCTAATATCAAAACTTACTGCATACTATTGAAACTAGTGAACGACAATTTGGTATGTCGTGCGTGTGTAAGGCGGAGACAACAAATGTATGGGTAGCGTCCTCTTAAGTGCGAGAATGTCAGAGCCCTAGGGATAATATTAATATCAAAACAATTCTGAATTATTAACTCTATTTAAAATATTATGTACACAAAAAGTTTCTTGTTAGGTGTTTGATTAATAAATATTATTATGAATATCATGTCATATTGAATACAATAACAAATTCTCATATAATATAATATAGATTTAAAATATATATTTTTTGTCACTAGTTCTAGGGGTAGATCACTAGGTCAGTAGGTCACTATTTCATGATCTATTGTTCTCCTGATAAGACTTAATGCTTAAATGGCCTTGAAATATAAACCAACTCAAAATATTTAGTATCTAATAATATAATATTTGATATCAATGCGGTTGGCATCATGAATTACTTGAAAATTGATTTAGCAATTAATTACAAACATAAGTACATATTTTGTTTTGTGGCGCCGTCCAAAGAGTCATGAAGTAATTAGTATTTACAACTATGTACTCATGTAGAATCTGATTAAATCATACTACACTCACAATTAATAAATTGTCCTTTGACTTTTGTTCGGTTAATCTCTGTAAGCCTGATAAATCAACTTTAGTCAAAGTAATAAATTTCATAATGTCAATAATAATGTTAACAGTTATATTAACAATAATACTGATATCGCATCAAATAAATTTAACTGGAGGTATTCAAAATTTAAAGATAGTAGATACTAACTTATTAAAGATACTTAAAAGCTTACAACAGGCTACATTTGTTTGGGTTTTGAATTTGTATACATGTTATAATATTAATAATTAATGAAGAATATTAGAAAATGTAATACTTTCATATTGAACTTGACAATTTTAGTACACAATTTAGTAATATGCTGGTAAGTATAAACAATTTGTAAGGATAAACCTATCTATTATGTCAGCTATATATAAACTTACATAAGAAAATAACAGTTTAATAATTTCAATTTTAAATTATAAATCTTAACTTTTAAAATACCAAAAATAAATATACAAAAGCATTTAACTACTAATTATTGTAGGTATTTGTTTAGGTAATATTTCCATTATTTTAACTGTAGAATTTTATTAGATAAAATAACTATCTAAACATAGCAACAATAAGAAATGTGATCTCATAGAATTATAATTATTATTATAAACAACAGATGAATACAACAATTGTATTAATTGTTAGATCTTAATGAACTCTTTGACATAAATTCTGTCTGATCACTGTGCAGGCAGAACATAATAATGTTTGATTATTAACCTAATAAAAACACTATATCTTTTAGCTGGAGGTAGTTAAATAACTGTTTTAATATATTTTTTATCCTGATTTTTAATTAAACAGATAGCATGTTGCAACAATCTAATATAATTTACAAATGTATATAAACTATTTATACAATGTGATCATTTAAATATCTACACTTATTATTTCAAATTTTAACTTTTTTGAAAATATTATTTTTACATAATTAAATGAATGTAAACAAACAATTTTAATTTCATAGTTCGAAGAAGAAAATAATTCATAGTATTTGTTCCATATGCCAAAATAAAATTTCAACTGAATAGCCAATTATTTAAAAGTAAGTGTTCAGTGAAGTGATAATAATTGTAGATACCCTGTCCTACTACTCCATTTGTGTTTTAAGCTTTACAAATTAACTACTTGTTTGAAATTTCATTTTTATGTATCCGAGTTCTCCAAATAATATTCTGCTTCAGAATATGAAATTAAAATTGCATGTTATCATTCAAAACTGTAAAAGTAAATTTTTTTCAAAAATGTTGTTTTACAAAACATACTTAATCAAACTGTAAACATTTTTGAAAAGGTGAGTGATTGATTACCCTGTATAATAATATTTACAGTTTATTCTACATTAGGCTTATGAATAATTGGGAAACTATATATTAATAGTTATGCCAAACACATATAACTATTTAATTATTAAAACAATACAGTACTCAAACGGTTTTGTTGTTCTTTTCATTGTTTACTACCTACTCTATGTAATTTGTATTATTTGATTCATTATATATATTTATTTTATAGATTCAGGTACGGATGGGGAAAGCCAGAGCGGCAGCAAAGAGCAGCTTAGCGAAAGAAAAATGTCTAAGCCTCCTCCTATTTCCACCATCACGTATAAGGTAATGTATTGAATTTAAATATTAGGTTTTTTTTTGTTCTTTTAATACATGGGCAGTTAAAATTGTTTAGGTTGAAGCATCAGATACATTGACTTCAGTTGCTGCTAGGTTCGATACAACACCATCTGAGTTAGCCATACTGAACCGGCTATCATCACGCACACTATTTCCTGGTCAGATTCTTCGTGTCCCAGATAAAAAGCGAATATCTGTGTCCGAGTCTGATGCGTCTCAAGTAATTTTCCTCTTATAAATTATGAATGATTGAGGATTTAAAATCTTTCATTTTATTTTTAGGGAGGTCTCAGCAATTTAGATTTATCCGAAACCAACAGTTTCACATCGGCTGATGGAGAAAGTAGACCTGGATCTGGGCCTTCAACCGGCAATGATAATAAAGATATCATTGATAGGAGGGAAGATGGTATGATACATTAATAATTACACTAAAAATTATACTATTTTTCCAAAACTATTAAATTTTCAAAATCAGTTTATTGTACTACTATTATATTATAGTATAATGTAAGTGACTAATTTCCCATTTATGAAAACATTTTATTCAGAATTTAATGCAAGGTATAAAATAGCAAAATATGCACTCCTATTTTGAACTATCACATAGCAAGTCATTTGTCACATTTTATAATTTAAGGTATTAAGGTGCCACATTGGTCAAAAGTAATAATGAAGGGACAGATTTCCTGTGCAATTAAAATCTGTGAATCAACAATATTTTTTCGCTAATAAATAACCATGGCAACAAAAATCTCACTCAAAATTGGTTAGGAAAACAAAAAACATGTATCTAGCACAAAAACGTTAGCGATATCCCTACTGATGTACTGAAACATAATTTTTTTCAATTTTTAAGCTAAATATTTGTGTTTTAAATAAAGATGTATAAAGTTATGAATAATTGATATATTATATTTAAATACTATAACTTTTATACTAAATTAAAAATGCGTTCCCCAGTTATAACTAATAAGTAATGAAGCATCATCATGTAAATGCCACCAAACCAGGAATGCTCAACGTTTATTTCTTTGTTCAGATCAAAGTATTTAAATGTTGCATTCCTGTGGTCCACCAATAATAAAAATATATAATATATATAATAATTAATAAATAATATAAATAATATTTAAATATCTTGGAAATATATGTATTTTTTTATACAAATTTTGTTTCAACTTCAACATCTGTAGCATGTTGAATTGTTCAATATAAACATCAAAATACTACAGAATTTTATTTTGTGTTTTACACATCAATAAAATTACTATAGTAATTTACTAGTTTTTAAAGATAAGATATATTATTTTGTTACACAATAAAATTTACCAATTAGATACCATAATTGGATCATGTAAATTCCAGCTATCTAATAATGACAAATGTATTATTATAACTTACCTTTGTCATTGGTGTGTGTATATATATCCTGTCTGTTGTAAATTACAGCAATAAAGTAATATAAGAAATGTATTTGTTTCAATATGGTTTAAATAAAAATATTAAATTTGCAAAAAAATATGCCAATAACAATTTTTATACTTGCATAACATCATAAAAACATTTATATCAAACTAGATTCTTAATATTATATTCATTTCTGACAAATATGCAATTGCATTGAGTTCTGAGTCTTAATCATAATACACTGATTATTGAATAAATATTTATGGTATTCATTTTTGCTAGTGAAATCAGACTTATGTATTAGATACATTTTACTGAAATATAGTATATTTTCTCATCATTATTAACTATTGTAAATTGTAATATTCATATGCAAATTTTTATATTAAAAATGTTTGGTTCATTATTTAATAAATTAGAAAATAGTATTAGTTAATAGAACTAAATGAGGTTAAAATACTTTAAAGTTTTCCGGTTCATTAAATATGCCTGAAACTGTTCAATACAGAATTGTATTTTGGTTCCTTGTGATTCTGTTTTATCTATTATATAATGTACATAAAATAACTTTTACAAATATTTGAACTATTTTAATGTACATTAATTCACTGCCATTTCTAGGATTTTTTTAAGTAGGGTGTCACCATACATATATTATCTATATTATATACAATAATTTGGTTTATAAAAGTTGTACCCATACATAATATAATTACTATAAATATTTAAGATTCAATTAAAAGGTCCCATTCAAGATAACTAATAGTATTTAATATTTAATAATACCTAGTAGGTGCCAGCAAGCAGTGGCGTATTTACGGGGGGGTCCCCGGGTCTCGACCCCCCCAGAAAAAAATATAATATAATATAATTATTACATCATAACTCGTATGTGTTTTTTTTATATTATAAACTTGTAGGTACCTAATATTTAGACCCCCCCCCCCCCACAAAAAATTTTAAAATACGCCACTGCCAGCAAGTAATAACATTTTCTTCGTTATGAGCAAAAGTTTGATACTGAAACACACACCCCTTGTATATGCCACTACATTAAATTATGTTTATTGTAAATAGTCAGTGCTCTTTTTATTATTGAGATCTTGAGTTTGATACATTAAATTTATGAGTATAAATAAAGATATTTATGATCGAAAAATTAAATTTATTTGGTCTGCAGTCTCTGTATATTTGTCATGTGACTAATATTTTATTCTAGCATATTATCTCCCAGCGCATATTTACAATTTACATAAAAAATTGTATACGTGTGTACAGTGACATAGTATTGTTAAAATAAACTGTAATTATTTAATTTAAAAAAGTAGCATTTACTTTTTGTTATCTTGCTGATGGTATTGTTCTCAAGTGCAATGAGCTTATACGCAGTTGCCATAATGTGACTGATTTTAAAACTCTTATCTGCTATAACAACCATATATGTTTTAATTTGATACTAATATCAGTAATAATTTGAGTATAATTTCTCTCTTAATAATTAATAAATTCATCCAGTGTTATTTTAATATTTCTTATTTCTACAAAATAAATTAAAGTAGTGATTTAAAAATCATTAAATTATTTTAAATTGTTATGTAATATCGCGTTTAATAAAATGGGAGACATAGTTATGTCTCCAAAGTATCTCTTACAACATAAGGGTTATGTATATTTTGGTATTAAAAATCCTTCAATTATTCCATTTAATTTTTCTCTTGTCTGACATTTAACATTTTTAGACAATGATTAATTTACAAATTTATTGTTTCAGACATGTTGGACACATTACGGCCTTCATCTCCAAAACCCGGTCATCCAGAACGTATTGGTTCTTCAGTATCTCCTTCATCAAGCAGATCACATTCGCGCGGTGTAGAAAGGTTCCTCAAAATAAATGTCAGACACATCACAGATGGACAAGTACTACAAAAATCATATTTACAAATATAAAACTAGTAAAAATAATAATGCAAATTTGTTATAGGGTGTGGTGGGTGGTGTATTATTGGTCACTCCTAATGCTATCATGTTTGATCCAAATGTCTCTGACCCGTTGGTTATTGAGCATGGGCCAGAGTCTTATGGTGTCATAGCTCCTATGGAATTTGTAGTGAATGCAGCCATATATTATGATATAGCGCATATGAGAGTTGCTGGACCTTACCAATCAACAGGGTATGTTATTTAACATAATATATTAACTGTAGATGATGCTTATGATTTTTATACCCAACCGTTTAATTATTTTAGAAGTGAAAATGAGAATGTTACAAAACCAGCGATTTATCATTTATCTCCCGTTCTTAAATCTGAAACAATGGACGACAGTGAACATAAGTCCCCAACAATGTTAACTACAATGCAAACTGATTCATTGGACAGTGCAACATTAGATTTACAGATATCTCCTGGAGGTCGAACTGATTCTCTCTTGGCTAAGGATGAAACTTTTCCAGAACTTAGGTATTTTAAATTATACCTATTAACTTTATTACATATTATATTGTTGTTCAAAAAATTTAAAAAAACTTTCCAGATCTTCAACTGAAGATGAAGAAGAAGATGGTAGCATTTGTTCATGCAACGCACAGAGAAATGATGGAGCTGCATTTCCAAAAGCATTTGATCGTGATCTAGTCACACCAAGTCCCATGAATAGACCTAATGATGCATTAGTTAGTTTTTTCAATACATTTTTAATACTTATTAATTTATTATTGAATGTAATATTTTTATTTTAGAAGAGATCAGACAAAGAATTGGCTATTGAACACATTGGTAGTGAAGATGATAGGCCACTTTCTTCGATGTCAGCAGAACAAGATGCTGTTTGTAGTATACGTAATATGGAACAGCGCAGGCAATCTTCGATTGACCAACACTGGGCAATGCCAAATAAAGTCAGATCTCTTGATGATGAACCTCCGGTTCATCATGCAGTACAAGGTATTAAATTTTTAAAATGTACCTATTACTTTTGTTTATGGTATAAGTTATTTACAACTTGTAAAAAAATTCCTTAACATTTAACAATAATATAGATTTGGAGTTATAAATGGAGTCATAAATTAGTAACTATAGTAATAATTGTATTAATTATGTATCCTAGAAACAGTTGAAGACTCTGAACCATCAAGTGGTTATCTAGTAAAGCAATCATGTCATGATTCTGGCATTGATATTCGAGATCCACCTGTATTACCAATACCTCGTAAAACTGTTTATTCTGATGCTGATATACTTTTATCAGAATCTGAGTTTCTTCCACCAGTGTCTGTCATACCATTGTCTTCTGACCATCTTAATGATGCAGTTCAACTACGTAAAAAGAAAACTACATCAGTGTCATTTAGTTTGGAAGATTCTAAGGAACAAGATTCTGCAGGTATAATAGAAGTTCAAAAGGTTGATGAACAAGCTGAAAAACAGGCTCAGGAAACTAAAAAAAATAAGGTAGATATACTATTGTTTTAATGTTTTTGTTAAATGTGGTTAAAGATTAAAACAAATATAATATACATATTTTTAGATGCTGAAAAGGCTTTCTTATCCCTTATCTTGGATGGAAGGATTTACTGGTGATAAAGATAATGAAAAAGAGCCATCAGTACCGTCTTCAGCTGAATCATCTCATCTATCTCATTCATCCAGTGTGTTCTCTAAAGTTTTTTCAAGGTAAATATCTATATTTAATTTAAAACAATTTTAAACACACACATTTTTCTTTATTAATCTTTTTAAGCATCTTTTATACATTAAATAAAAAAAAAAACTGTAGAATATAATAATTTATTTTACATGGCACTTTTGTAAATAAAATGCGTACTAGGATATACACACACTTTTTTTATTACACACTATTAACTAGCATCTCCGTAGGAGAAGCTTCTATAGTTTTCATATTTTATTGTTTGTATTATTGAACTTTACGAAGAAAGTATTATAAAGTTAAAATAAAATTTTGATTTCTAAAAACATATCCAAAATATATATATGTATTGGATATATTTTTTATATAAATTGGTGGTTTTATTATAAATTTGTCTATTTCATTTTGAAATCAATATGAGAATAGATGTCAACTAACTATTATTTATTAAATCACTCGATAATAACCAACATAAGCTTTATATATTTATATTTTATTATTTGGACTTTTGGGAAAGCAATTTTTATCTCAACAATTGTATTTAAGCATTTGTTTAATGCTAATTTGAAAGCATTGTTGACTTGAAGCTATTAAACTTTAATTTTTGTTGCCATAATTATACACTCAAGTGAAATGTAGATTACCCAACAATTATAATATTAGTTGGGCTTACATTAGTAGTTTGTATTATTAACAATGTTTTATTTATTTTTTGTTATTGTTAATAATAAAATATCTATTTATTTTTTCCCTACACAACTTTTTGCAAAATTGTATTTCTCATTCCAATTAATTCCTTTGAATTATTACTTTTGATGATTAATGATAAAAAAAACCAAGAGACAGTTTACTTCTTAATTTTAGATTGATTGAATACTAGAAAATAAATACAACTCATTAATAAGCTAAAAATCAAGACCTTGGGGATTGAATTTATTAAATAATGAACTTTATATTAGTTGATATTTGTATTTATAAGAAATTTATGAAGAGAACAAATTGAACCAGAGTTAATTAAAAAGTGTAGTATGAGGATATTATGATAATTTTGTATTATTGCTAAGCTCACCAATAAACATGGTGACTGATTTTGGTTCGGGTCTGTTCCTAATGAAAACACCGAGCGAGGAGAGTGGGCGATTCCAGTTCCCGCCACCTCAGGACTGTTCGCCCGCCCCGCCTTCGGCCACCCCATCTAAACGTGAAGGCCTTGCTGGCTTCTCGCCGTCATCAATTATTAACAGCGTAGGGTAAGTGGTCACACACTGTACCCCTAAATGTCTATCTGTCATTGATATCATGGTGATGTTATGTGTGTCCCTTATCCTGCCACCAAAACCACTTAATGTAGTATTTTTTTTAATGCAAGTTCTAGTCTTAGTGCATCAATTTTAATCATTAGAATGCCATACAATTATTATAATTATTTTTTTTTTTTTAATTTATACTTTATGTACACTTTTAAATTATTATAATTATTATTATTAGTTATATTTACCTATCATAATATGTTATAAATTATGATATTATAATTCATTTAAATTACATATACTTTGGATTATTATAAAATTGCTTTATTTTTTTTACAGTAATATATTTTTTATTAATATGTTATTATGTAAAAAAAAATTGTTTTAATTTTTATCATAATTAAGCTTTGCTGATTTATTAGTTATTATGTTTACAACAAAAATATACATTTTGTACATAATCAAATTGTTTACTTTATTTTTATTTTGTTTATTAATACAAGTTTTTATGATTATTAAAGGCGTTCGTCAGTCACTACCTTTATACGCCAGCAACACAATAGCTCAAACAGCCGTTCAGATAGTCAGAGCACTTCAAAAGCTATGCAACCTAAATTAGATTATCGAAGTATGGTATCTGTAGATGACATGCCTGAACTGTTTGTATCTTTTGAAAGTAAGTGTATTTACTATTTGTATACGAACACATCACTTTTTCATCTTTTACCACACTAACTAAGATATTTTATTCAACAGAATTAATTCCAAGACCCGTCCATACATTTGAAGAACCACCACCTCTTTATTTAAGGCTACGAATGGGTAAACCAAAAGACAAAAAAATACCAAAGTCAACTCCAATCATGTCATATGGCAAGAAAAAGATGAAGCCAGAATATTGGTTTAGTGTTCCTAGAAACAGGTAATGTTATTATGTTAATAACCTATTTATTGTTTATAGTGAACACTTTACTTTAATTTGAATTAGTTTTGTAGCTGTTTTTAATAAAATCATATTTACTGTGATAAATCTATAATATAAAAACATTTCAATTTTAAAACAATTTTATCTAAATTAAAAACTAATCATTTTATCGAACAGTACAATTTGTATTAATCACTTATTAAAGAACTCAATAACTTAAAGTTAGTTATATTTTTCCTCTTAATTTACTAAAAACAGACAAAAATATAAAACAAACCAATAGATAATAATATTAATTGTTAGTATGTATAAAAAAAGTATGAAAATAAAGTTTTGTTAATTTCGGGTTCTCCATAAATTAAAATCCAATAACAATGAAAATCACAAATAACAAAAACTTTATTTTTTGAACAGTTTTATAAACATTAGGTATTTATTTACCTATGTGAATTTTTTAGATATTTGTTGGAATAGTTTTATGATATTTGCTATTAACTTTGAATCTATATATGTTTATGAAAAGTCTTAAATATTTATGCCATGAAATTAATATACATATTGGTAAATTGAATTAAAAATAATTTTGAGGTATTTATAATTTTAGGGTGGATGACTTGTATCGTTTTCTTATGTTATGGGTCCCCCTCTTGTATGGTGACTTAGATGAAGAAATAGTTGCATGTCGTGGTTTTGAGTTGGTTGAATCCGACACAGAACTGTGGGAAGAAGCGGAAACACCGCCTGGCGATACTAGCGATAAAAAGCTAGACAGAAATGAAAGCGAAGCTGGTGATCTCACACGAGAGTCTTGGGAGGTAAGTTCCTATACTTATATATCTATTTTTTTTAAATCTTAAATATATAATACAATCTACATTGATGGTATATATAATCTATGATTCATGATATTTAGCTTCATGTGCCAATTATATACGTAACTAAGTATTACAAGGTGTCCCCTGTTTTTAAATAAATATTTTTCTATAAAAGGTGTTAAAAGCGCCATATTCAAAATTGTACTCGATGCTGAAGACTCAGGCCGATCAATTCGGATCGTCAGATTCGCAGGCAAATAATGAGGTACACTGTTAGTTATTAACAGAGACCTAATTTGCTATTTAGTCGGACATAGTGGTAGTGATAATGTAAATGGCCAATTTTTTTTTCTCTAAATGTTATCTTAGAAAACTGACCATTTTACATCATTGCATTATAGCTGTGATTATTAGTAAGCATATTATTTCACAATACTGAACTGTTTGTCAAGCCATTGATGGCAATTTTGCACAATTAATACTTAGCACATAATTATATCATTTCGAAATTATTATATTTTTAGATTATATTATCATTATCTTATATACGTTTGGTGCTTTTACATTTTAGCTGTAATGTACCCTTTAGTTTTTATAACACTAAGATTATTTGATAAAGGCTTTTAACATAGTTTAGTGCTTAATTTAGGCGATTTAGTTGCTTTCATTGTTAAAACCTATTGGATCGGTATTTATCAATCATAGAAATATTTGATGAATTTTATTGTACGGTGTGACATGAATGATTACTAGACAAAATTAGGTATATCTAAACTCTAAAGGTTAGGTTAATTATGTATTTGGATGTCGTGAATAATATTATTTTTATTGTTGATCAAAACATTCCGAGTTCAAAATGATTTCCGGAATGAAACATAAACAGCCAAAATATAATTTTTACAAAAACCGTGTTTGCGAACTCTGACGTCACAAATACTCGTCCCTCACCTGTGACTATTTTATATTGTATTATAATATCGCTCTTGCAAGTCCGCGGAAGGGGGGGGGGCATTTTGGCCTACGCGAGTACGTTACTGGTCCATGGCAGGAGTGCAGGACGTGTGCTAGCAGACATCGTGGATTATTATATAATATTATAGTTCCTAACGATTGCCGTCGATCACATTAACGTCGCCCACTCATCGGCGCGATAATCTTTTCACTGTGACAGTTATCGCGCAGGTCTCTCGGTCGGTGTTAGGTCGTCCGAGTCTGTTTTAATTGTATACCTATCGTCTTCGTATTATCCGCTATAGTCCTTCGTGTTGGCTATTTCATATACCCTCTGCGTTAGGCCAAACATTGCGTCCTTTGTTATTTGTTTAACCCTAATCGAATTACTTAATCCCGAAAATTACTATTATATATTACGTATTGTCGTTACTAGTTCCAAACACGTTTATAACTTATTCCAAAAGTTTCGCGGATTAAAATTGTACGTAGATTATAAATTATTTTCAGAATTTCCATAAGTAAGAAAAATTTCAATGAAACACGTGAGTACCTACTCTTTTTTTTCCAAAAAAAAAAATACCGCATTCTTATGGGGAAATTCGATAACTATTCAGAGTCGTTATTCTTTTAATTTAATGATTTATTATTGCTTTTAAATTAAATTACAGACCTCCAATCGTGTGATTTGCCTTATTGTTTATATGTTTCTCTGTTGTCATTTTTTCAACTCGAAAGAGTGTTCCAAACTTTTCTAAATAGTCTTATAAATGCTAAAGTACACCAAGCTCTGCTCGAGATTGTTTCGCGGACGTATAATGTGATTATGATTATTACGTATTTTTTTAATTATATGAATAGGTACCCATTTTATAGTGACTATAATATTATCCTATACCCAGTTTAGCTGACTTTGAGTTATTATAGGGATTGTCTGTTATATTTAGACTTTATATTAAATAATAATTGGCTTAAGTCTCTTATTTCTAAAATATTCATTATAATGCTTTACAAATAGGTAGAAAATTTAGGTTAGTTTAGTATATATTAAAGTGTCAATTATTGTCCATTATTCTAAAAACATAAAAATTTTCATAATTAAATTAAGCACCATTTACATCGTATTTTACTTTTGCTTTTATTAATTTTAATATAATACATAATATAAAATATGTACATTCATGCCCGTTAAATTAAGTTTCTCTTAGTTAGGATACTGTAAGTAATCTGTGTTTAAATAATATTGTCATAGATGTTAAACCGTGACCTAAAAGTTTAAAACTAATAATTATGCAACAGCATTTGATTGAATTTCTTGTTTTGTAGAACGTATTGAAACATATTGGGGAACGTAAAATGAATATTAAGAATTTTTTGTGATAATTTACTACCTAACGATCAATATACTAATTATATAAATTTATTTTTAAACGACTACAGTAAAATTGTATTAAAATAAATTAAAAAAATACACAAATGTATGTATTGTAAATTTTTTTAATTATATAGTTAATTACGTATTATTTAAAGATAAAATTATTGAAATGTGATTAGGTAAAATTATTAAATCACAACTTAAATTGTACTTATAGGTGTGTACGTGCTGCAGTAATGTAATAGGTATACCTACCTATTACTTTTAGTAAAAATAACTTACAGGAATAAATAAAACTATAAGCAACTATTTATAGATTAATCATTTTTAATAATATTTAAATGTATATGATGAGTAAGAGACATAAACAATAGAGGTCGGTAGAAGGGAACTTTCTAAAATTGACTCGCTTACAATCAGCTGTCACGGTGACCAGCGCATGTAGTTTTCCCAATCAGTAGCTAAACGCAATAGCTTCATAAAGCATTCCGTGTTCGTTCTTTTTTAAATCGTCAACGTGTTTTGAACTAATTAAATAACTATACAATAATAACAATTGTTTTAATTTCGATTTAAACCTCAGTGTATACGTATCATAATATTTGTTTACATATTATATTATATTACTTACGTCCGACCATTAATGATTGTAATTTGAGTATGAACGTGTCTCCGATGTGATGCAGTATGATTTCTAAGACGTTCAGATTTTTACTACAACATGAATAGTTTTGGGAAGTCGTCAAAAACAAAATTGGCGTCCACTAAAGCATTTGTGAAAAAAGCTCAACAACTATTAAACAAACGCAAAGTAAATCAATAATAAGCTTAATAATTAATTTTATAATGACGTAAAACCGTGTAGGTGAACAATAACAAAATCATATCATAATATCATATATTTTATAAGTTTTTTATATAAACTAAATTGTGTTGTTTAATGATGAAAAACCTAACGAGTGGTGTTTAAAAAAAAAAAAAAACAGTTAACCGTGTGTTGATAATTAATTGATCATTATAGTATGACATTTAAATTTTTGTTGTTATATGCAATTTCGTTCAGTGTATGTTGAATGATTATTTAACTAAATATTCATTAAATATTACATATTGTCAATATCTAGATATCGTATTTATTTGTTTTTATAATGACAGTGTGTTTATTTTATAATTTTATTAGTAATTATTTAATTTAATTTTTATAGTTTTAAATCTCTTGAAATGGTATTACTGATATTATGTTTTTTTCTTTTAATTGATAATTCTTAGTACATAATCTATACCAATCGTAGTTATTACCATTTTTACGAGTTAAAACTCATAAATTACTTTATGAAAAAACAGAACATAAATCCACTATTATAACCGATTTTTGTGCTTTATATTTTAATAAATAACTTATATTTATCAAATAATTCAGCAAAGTAATTTAACCGAATGAGTATTTATTTCTTATTAAACATAAAATGTATATGGTTATTTCTACTGCTTAGACAAGTTGTATGTCCTATTTTAATATTTTTAAAGTATATGTGGTTACTAGACGTATTACTACACGTGTCTGACATTATATTTTAAACTTTTTTTTTGAGTTTGAACTTTCAATTATTGATAGGTTTTCACTTTTATACGTTTTATTATTACTGTACCTATAATGTATAGTTTATATTTTATATATCTATATTTATTTTATGCATCAAATCTAATATTAAAGATTCCGAATAGCGTTATTTTACGGTTATTAGAGAGTTATAAAAGTTTATAGATAATTAAATTGTGAACATTGTAATTATTATTTTTTACCACGGCTACTTGTATAATAATATTATGTACCGAATATCCTGTATTTACTGAACATTCTTTATATACCTACATAATAACATACAATATTAAATATTTTCTCTTGCATGTACACTCACATGTGGTCTAGCACTCTAGCATACATTTATTTCAACTCAAACATTCGCTATTTTTAAGTATATTTTTCTTTACCTCATCTTTTTATACATTTATCGTTTAAATTGTACATATTGATTTTAACAATTATAACATATTAGTGTTGTTTGAACGTTCGGTGTATTGCCTCTGCTCGTACAATTTTAGTGCTGCCACGTATTTCACTCGCAACGAAGGCAAATATGACAAATGTGGGTGCTATAGGTTGACCTTACTTGTCTTATCCTCTGAAGTTTAGTGAAAAGTAGTAATGACGCCAATAATACATGTCTCTATAATAGAGTTACGAAAAACATTGATGGAATGGTTCATATTTAATATATGTGTTTGGAGTCTACATCTACGATATTTACGTTCAAATATTATTTTTAGAGTTAATACACGCTATTGTGCTTATACTATGATATAGGTAATATGTTCCTTCTGGTATTATACGAGAAAAAAACGACATTATATCAAATACCTCCAATACGTTATCAAAATTTTAGGTTTGTATAATAATCTCGTGGTTTTTGATTTTAATGATTTGCTCTAAACGAGTGTGTGTTTCTTATAGTTATTATAACCTTGGATGATCCAACCATATTTTTTAGCCCCCGGTACCTGGAGATATTATAGGCTATAGTCTATAATTTAATTTCTTTGGAATACTACAATATCGTGATGTTATTTTCCGCAACACGAATATAGTTCCCATTTAGGTAGGTACTGTGTTCCGTAGTTTTTATTGGATTTTATCAAAATTACATATATATTTCATTAATTTTATACACTAAATAAAATATATCGATATTCAAATGTGATTTTAAACAGATGATATTCTAATTGTTTTTCTTGAAAACTCGTGATCTTGACAATTTATTTTGGATGTGTATTTAATATTTATATAATATACCTATTACATTTTTTTTAATTAGTTTAGAACACATTACTTTAGTCTGTTTTACATTATTTGTATGTTCTACCGTTTGTTTGATGACAGTTATTTTTCTATA